TTCTCCGCCTATTGTCTCTTCGTCTGAGGATCAGAACAATCACTGCCATCAAAACACAGACACAAATTCTTCTGCAATATCCCAGGGAGTATCAGAATCTTCCTTCAGTGTAACTACAAGTAGCTCAGCTTCTGGTACAGGTTTACAATCCTTAGCCTACAAAGACCTGGGCAGAGACCTCCCCAGCCTTAATGCTATGGCAAAGGTGCTAGGAACGGTGAGGAGTAGTGTGAAACCTCCCGTTCTCACCTCACCAGACTGGTTTAGTTTCTTAACTCCATCCCAGGAATCTTACACTCAAAAGCTCTTCACTCCTGGGGATCTGCAAGACGAACTCATGTACCCTGCGCCATATGGGATCGCTTCAGAAGTCTATCAAAATATCAATGCTCAGGAAGCTGACTTTGTCCTCCTTAAACCTAGTCGGAAGCCTAGAACGGAACCTTTGCCTCCACTTTCAAAGGCAGACACAGCACCCAAGGATAGTGATTCTAAAACATCAAATACAGTAAAGACTACTGATGTGAGCTCATCATCACAGCCTACTACACAGTGCGAGACCACCAACATTCAGAATAAAATCACTACTACCTTAAGTTCTGAAACGAAAAAACCTGAGAGTCCTGTGGGTTTAATTGAACCTTTGGCGACAGAGGATGAGGAGGCACTGAAGGAAGGTGCACAAGAGAGTAGAAAATTAAGCTTGAGTGAGAGGAGGAAAACCAGCCTCGATAAAATATACATACCCAGAGCAGTGGAACCAGTTTCGGTCTTGGATGTAAAAATTGATAACTTTGATAGGGATGAATATGTGTCATACAAGAAGACTCTTGGTGAAAATGATGTACTCATACCTGACTGCCCTCTCCTTCCCTGCAATTCGATGCTTACAGACCTTTCAAAGATTGCCAAAACGAGAAGAAACTCCAAAGGAAACAAGAGCACTGATTCCGAAAGGTCACGAAAATTACCAATCATAACAGATCACATAATGGAGACAAATCTTGAAAATCTTAGCAAAAGCCGTGAGCAAAAGACTCCCTCTAGAAAACAAAGCATACCAAAGAATGAGGTTCCTCAAAAGGACAATGAAAATGTTAAAAATAATTTGAAAACAACGAAAGACAAGGAATATGACCAGCCGTCACATGAAAATGAAAAGAATACCGATAAATCAACAGATATTAAAGACAATAATAATTATATCAACAATAATAAAAAGTCTCAGAAAAACATGGCATCCCCTGTGACGTCTCCCACGGTGGAAGACCCATTTTTCCTTCAAGATCAAGCACTGCCAAAGAGACCAAATGCTCTACGCAAGCAGTCCCTTCCGACGGAGGAACTGTTTGGAGCGAGGCGCCCAAGAGCCAATAGGAGATCTAGTCTTAACCCTTCGTCAGATTTTCTACAGCCTGGAAGGGCTGCGTGCAGAGGTTCCTTTCCCACAGTCCGAGAGACGGAGGAACACAATTTCCTGTTTGAGGATGATGCCCCCAGGAGAAAATTGTGGCACCGACGACACGTCCTGAACGCCCGCAACGGAGAGGACTACTTTGTTCCTCCGTCTGAAAAGAAGGAGGGAAGCCCTGAGCGCCCAGGGAGAGGAAGAAGCAAAACTGGGCAGCGGTACCCACCATCCTGTCTGTCTGCCTGCCTGCCTGTCTGTCTGTCTGCCTGCTTGTCTGTCAGCTTGCCAATCTTCTTAACTACCTACTTACCTGCCCATCTGTCTGTCTGTCTGTCTGTCTGTCCTGTCTGTCTGTCTGTCTGTCTGTCTGTCTGTTTGTCTGTCTGTTTGTCTGTCTGCCTGCCTGCCTGTCTGTCTGTCTGTCTGTCTGTCTGTCTGCCTGCCTGCCTGTCTGTCTGTCTGCCTGCCTGCCTGTCTGTCTGTCTGTCTGTCTGTCTGTCTGTCTGCCTGCTTGTCTGTCAGCTTGCCAATCTTCTTAACTACCTACTTACCTGCCCATCTGTCTGTCTGTCTGTCTGTCTGTCTGTCTGTCTGTCCTGTCTGTCTGTCTGCCTGCTTGTCTGTCAGCTTGCCAATCTTCTTAACTACCTACTTACCTGCCCATCTGTCTGTCTGCTTACCTGCGTAGCTACATACTTACCTGCCTACCCACCATCCTGTCTGTCTGTCTGTCCTGTCTGTCTGTCTGCCTGCTTGTCTGTCAGCTTGCCAATCTTCTTAACTACCTACTTACCTGCCCATCTGTCTGTCTGCCTGCTTGTCTGTCAGCTTGCCAATCTTCTTAACTACCTACTTACCTGCCCATCTGTCTGTCTGCTTACCTGCGTAGCTACATACTTACCTGCCTACCCACCATCCTGTCTGTCTGTCTGTCTGTCTGCCTGCCTGCCTGTCTGTCTGTCTGTCTGCCTGCCTGCCTGTCTGTCTGTCTGTCCTGTCTGTCTGTCTGTCCTGTCTGTCTGTCTGTCTGCCTGCCTGTCTGTCTGTCTGTCTGCCTGCCTGCCTGTCTGTCTGTCTGTCTGCCTGCCT